AAATATATTACTTGTGTGTAAGTGGGGGCTTCATACACACACACACATACAATTGTGTGTAAGTGGGGGCATCAGTCCAGAGCCCTCCCCTTCCTGAGCAGAGCTCAAGGGGACAGGAGACCTAATGTGACCCTGTGTGGAGCTCCGTGGTGGTCTCTCATCCCACTTCTATCCAAGCCAGGCCCTGTTTAGCTTTCCGTTCAGGTGAGGACAACTGTCTGCTGGGTCGTGATGAAGCCTGAAGTGGACTGTTGAGTTTTAGGTTTGGGGATTCTACTCAGAGTTGCCACCCCACGTGGGACTCTTAGTAGGCCTGTTACAAGAGGACGGAGCCATCAAGGGGCTTTTCTCCTTCTGGATCTTAGAGCTTTCTTCGGAAGGGAGAGAATCCGTTCCTCAGATGGGGGTTTCCAGAGGCTGGTCAGCATCTGCTGCTTTCATCACACTACACACCACCTACCTGTAGATGGTGCAGTAAAAAATCAAGAGAAAAGCAGGTTTAATGGTCCAGCTCTCCAGATCAGCTAGGTGGCTGACTTGGGTAGAATTTCTGATCACCGCCTTCCTTCCGGAAACCTGTACATCGTCTTACCCATATCTGATTTAAGCCATTCTTGACTTGATTCCTGCTCACAGATGTCCTTTTTTTTTTCCTTTCCTTCCCACTCAGGTCCAGCGGCCTCCAGACCTACCCTTTGAGACCATGGCTTATTCCGCCGCTTCTCCCCAACAGAAAAAGTCCATGTTTTCTCCCCGGCGGGATAAACCAGAAGCAGAGTCCCACGAGCCTTTGCCTCCCGAAAAGCCGTCGGAAGCTCCTCCTCTGGGGCCTGCTAACCCCCAGGCCTTCTCTCCTCCTGCAGCCCAAGCCGCTTCTGTCTCTGACAAGGCCTTTCCTAAAGTCAGCGTAAGTTTGTTAGCCCTGCAATCCGTACAGCTTACATAACATTCTTTGTCTGGAGTCTTCCCTTCTCTTGTCCTCCATAGGGCTCACATCCGTTGGATCATTCCCATGCCCCAAGGCAATTGGAGGGAAAGTGGGTCCCTCACCAGTCTCCCTCAGGTGAGGGAGCCTCTTTTCAACCATGAAGGGCCAGGTTCAGCTTCGGATAAATTCTCAGGGCTGCTTCGCCGGCTCAGGTGGGAGGAAAGGAAAAAGGGAGGGACCCGAAAATGCCAGCATGTTTCTGCTGAAAGCCTTTGTGGCCAGCGATGAGCACTTAGCAGAGGCCACAGTTCAACTTTTCAGAATCACAGGTGGGGGACAGAACCTGGGAAATGGTGAATGATGGTATCAGGGACAGAGACGTTTGGCCACCCGAGGAACTTAAGGAGTGCCGGGTTGTGTCCCAGGTTCCAGGTTCCTCCTCCCTGGTTGCTGAGGGAAGGATCCAGAAGCATCCAGATTGAACTGCTGCGTGAAAGGTGCCTGCTTTTAGGTGGTCCTAAATGGGAATGATTCCATTTGTGACACAACCCCGGAACTTCTTTGGGTGATTTGGAGAAATATGTACCCTTGCCATCTCTCCCTTCTTGCTTTCTATATCAGTTTTCTGACTATCCAGTCTCTCGCCGTTGCTATTGTTTAGCAAGCCCATCTAAGCGAAGGCGGCTCTGGGGCCTCTGATCTCAGGCTCCTCCGCTGTGTTCGGAGCGGAGGGACATCCCGCAGAATCCTCCCTTTGGCCACAGGGAGCCGGGGAGGCTGCCATTCTCTTTGGACCTCCTTGCAGGCTCCTCTTGGCTGCGTCCCTCTCGCTCTTTTGGGGGTCAGCCGTCCAGCCAAGCCATCACCGCGTGCTTTCTTTCTACCCCTAGGTGGAGTCGTTACCCTACGACGAGCGGCCGCTCCCCACCATCCGTAAGCAGCAGCAAGAGGAAGGTTTTGCCTTCCTGGATCCCGAGATGAACGAGGAGGACCCCGGGGAGACACCGAGAAGCGGCATCGTGGGCGAGCCGGAGCCACTAACAGAGAAGGCCCTGCGAGAGGCGAGCGCGGCAATCGAAGTGTTTGGAGAAGCCCTGGTAATTTGCTGCCATTCGCCTCCAGTGTTCCTTCACCCCCTTTTTTTAGTCCCACCGCCTTGACCTCAGGGGTCGGCAAAGCTATGTTGTTTTGGAGGGTGGCGATCCAGCAAGGTCTATTTAACTTCACCGATGAATGGTAAACACTATGCTCACTGGTTTACACCCAACACAAAGCAAACATAAAATCAAGTAAGTCTTAAGAAATGTCCAGTAGGACCCTGGTATCCACGGGATCAGTATCTGCTGTACTGTATATCTCTAAAGAGGAAGTTACCATAACTAGCCACTAGAGGACGCCAGAGACCATGCGATGCATCATGTTCACTATAATCCATGTTTTTCAGCATCCATGGATGAGGGGGCTTGAAACCGGTCCCCTGTGGATACGGGGGCCCTACTTTACTGAATACTGGCCCCACATAGGAGCCACCAAGGCAACCCCTAACAAATAAATTCCCCAAAGTACCATCAGAGTTGCACAGGCAGCATAAAGAGGGTCAATCCGTCCAGCATTAAGTGAGGATGGTTTCGAAGACTTCCGTGAACAGTCTTGTTTTGAGCATCCTCTTGGCAACGGTGAGAGAGGAGGGGCAGGCACAGCTCCACCTGGAGCCCATTCCAAAAGGACGGGGCCACAGCTGAGAAGGCCCTGATTCTAGCGGATTATTATGATGATTACCGTTATTATTACGATTGCACTTGCTCGCTTTCTCTCTGTTTCACATTCTCTCTCCCTCTCCCTCTCCCCCTGGCCTACCTCGCTGGATGGTTGTTGAAGTTAAAGTGGGGAAGAAGGGAGCCAGGGAGACATTGAGCTTCTTATTGAGCTGAGAGTGAACCTCTACACAACTCTGCCTGCTCTAGGATCAAGCCTGCCTCTACCCAAGTTTGGCTTCCCCGTCACCACCTTAGAACAGATTGGCCTGTTCGGGTATCGGCTCCTGTACCAGTTTAGGGGCCATTGGCGGCTCGGCCGGATAAGTGTTTGATCTTTCCCAGGTGGCTGGAGCCTATTCCAGAACGTGGTCCTACCGTGAAGACTCCTTGCTCGCAATCTACAAGAAGATGATGGAGGTCTCTCCAAACACACCCAAGGAAGACCTGAAGAACCTGCTTCAGGGTGCTGTCTTTCTCATCGTGAGAGCCATCAAAGACATTGTGTCCTCTGTGAGTCCAGTCGCAAAGCAGAAGGGGAGGGAGAGACAATCTCTAGGGTCCCCCCCCCTTTTGCAGTTCTTCCCTGAGCATCCCACTGTAGCTCTCGGCTGCAAATGAGAGTCTGTGGGTATTTATCCTGTTTCCCCGAAAATAAGACCTAACCTGAAAATAAGCCCTAATATGATTTTTCAGGATGCTTGTAATATAAGCCCTACCCTGAAAATAAGCCCCAGTTCAGTGAAACCCCAGCCTCTGCTATTATGCAGCAGCCAGAAGAAGCTGACAGGACTGTCATTGAATAAATGTAGATTGTTGTGGATGAAAAAAATAAGAAATCCCCTGAAAATGAGCCTTAATGTGTTTTTGGAACAAAAATTAATATAAGAACCTGTCTTATTTTCGGGGAAACAGGGTAGCAAGAGCAACGGTTTCCATGTTCCCTGTATTTCAAAAAAGGATTTTCCCAGCCCTGCCTGGAGATCCAGGGACTGAGTCGAGGCCCTTGGGCCCACCGGGCAGGGGCTGAGCCCCTAAACCCCCTTCCCTCGGATCCTCCCTTCTGGAAAGCGAACCACGTGGTTGTGGCAGCTTCGCAAACTGGCTCCGGGGCTCAAGTTGCCTTTGTGCTCCGTCTGCGCCGCGTAGGTTTTCCACGCCTCCTTGAAACTCCTGAAAATGATCATCACACAGTACATCCCCAAGCACAAGCTCGGGAAGCAGGAAACAGCCCACTGCGTGGAGAGGACCTTGCCCAACCTGCTCTCCCGGACGGGGGACTCCTCTGCCCGCCTGCGGGCGGCCGCTGCCAACTTCATCCAGGTCAGTCTGTCCGCTTCTGGGCTCCGGGGTGCTTGGAGGGGAGAGCGAAGCAGAGGCCATCCAGCGCAGGAAGGGGAGGTCCTCTGGACCCCTTGGGAGCTCTTGCAGAAGGAGAAGTGGAAGGAGGGGGGAGACACCTTGGACCCACTGCACTTGCGAAGCCATTTTTTGCAACCCCATTAGAGGACGATGGATCTTGTAGCTCCAGCCGTATCCAATCCCTTTAACTGCACAGCAAAAGAGGCTAGCATAGCTTGGAGTTCAGACTGACCTCGCAAAGTCTCCCGAAGCACACGCTCACCATAGAACTGAAGTAATTACTCAAGACCCTGCTTTGAAAGTCAAATAAATGTTTTTTATAAGGTTCATGGGCACAAGGTGCAAAGGGTAGAAAGTTGCAACAGGTATGGGTGTTTCATAGGGCAGCAAGAAAGATAAAGTAGCGGTTAATATAGTAAAAAAGGCAAAAAAGAAGGTGGGTGTCTCTCAGACCACCTGGTTGGAGAGAACACACAGAGTCCACCAGCGCATCCTCCCTCTGTCTTGTCCTGGAATTGCCGGACGCGAAGGCAGGAGACTGTTTCAAAGAGAAAGGAGAGGGGAGGAAGAGGGCGGTCCAATGCTAAGTGACCCCTTCCTTCCTCTCGGGAGACCATGATCCCCCCCCCCAGTTTGCACGTCGATTTGCAAAACAGACTCCAGTATCTCCTGAGCCCCTTCTTGTTTTATAAGGCTGAGCCGTTAGATCCTGGCGCTTAGGCCCAAGAGTCCAGCAGCAGCATTGCCATCAGCAGAGATCTTGAGGTGCCCCCCCCCAAAAAAAGAGATTTCTGATCCAGGATCCACCCTGACTCCCTCAAGCGAGGGACGCCAGGCGACCCAGAGCTGGCCAGACCCAGCAGCAGAGGGGCCCCACGGTCTTGGTGCCTCCGTGGCCTGTCCACAACCCAGGAGGGCCAAGTGCAGCCCGGGGGTCGACCCTTGAAGGCTTCCTGCTTGATGAGCAGGGACCAGATCCTGGAGGAAGGTTTCTGGAGCCGAAAGCCTCAGAGGCCACTGCGTCGGTCCATGCCTTACAGCCAGGGTTCCCACCCTTGGGTAAAAGCCAAGTGTTCTTGGACTGCGATTCCCAGAAGCCCCGGCGGGTGGGGAAGGCTTCTGGGAATGGCAGCCCAAGAACACCGGGGTGACCCACAATTGGGAACCAAAAGATCCCAGCTGAAAAGCTAGAAGCAGACTCCTTTTCCAGGCGTGGATTGACTTGCTTTTGCGTTCCGGACGGTGCGTTCTGTCCCCAGGCTTGTCCTTCGCCCTGGCTTCTTCCA